ACAGCGCCAACTGGCCTAAAGCGCACCTAGCGGCTCGATTGAATTGCAAAATAAGGATTATTATTTGGCTATAAATTTTAAACGAATGGTCCGATTTCAATAATTTGTAGATAGATATTGATAATACAAACAAACTCTCATTTAAATTTGTACAAAAAATTAAAAAATGTGGGCGCTAGACTGGTTTTAGTGTTATAGTCGTTTGTGGGCGTTAGAGTGGGCTTGGCACCCTGTTGAAAAAAACTTGCGTTGCACAGGAATCCCAAGAATCTGCATGCCAAGTCCCAAAACTCTAGTGTGAGCTTGGTGTAACCCTTTGTTAAATTCTTATGTTGAATATATAATAAACATAACTATACTCGTCATAAGTTATTTTTAGAATGTTACTTAAATACTAATATGGAAGGCCATTTGAAAATGTTTTTAGCTCGGAGCGTAGGGCATTGACGCAGTCTTAAAGGACCTGCAATGCTTCCTACCAATCCTAGCTGATTTTATTTGTCACGTTGTCCTGTGTGTGATGCCCCTCATGTTGTTGCCACTGCTGCCGCTGGTGTGGTCCTGTGTGTGCGTGCCCTCGTCCTGCTGGTCCTGCCATTCTGCGGAGCCCCTCACCCGTCCTTGGCCACGTTTCGGTAATTTTCATAACTGGCTGAATGAGGGGCGGAGTGGCGGGAGGCGAAAAGAAGCTCAAAGACGACCAGGAGCAAAGCTGAGCAATTGCCAAGTGGCAGGCGAGTACGCAGAGTGTGGACAAAAACATTTTCGGCTGCCACACCGCCCTCAACCTCATATATTAAATGGGGAAAAACTCGGGGGGAGCAGCAGTACATTTTTTTTAGCCCCTCCGCTTATTGTGCTGTGCATTTGCTAAGGTGCCTATCGTCAGACTTGTTTGCATTATGCGGCGTTAATGACATCCAAAGTGGAAAGCCGCCCCGCGAGGAAACTCTCTACTGTCGCCGCCATCTACGACATAATTCACAGCTACCCCACACTCAGAAAATTTAATTTCCGTAAACTTGCTAGTAACGAAACACTCGTCCTTGACAACGTGTCCTGCAGTTACATGGTTTTTAACGTATGATTGCTGTTTTCTAACATAATATCTGTAATGTTTAAATGATATAGTATTAATCAACAATAATAATTTGATCTAAAATCAACGGGTTTTGTAGTTTTATTTCGATGTTGTATGTGAGGGACAACAAAATATTTACTCGAATATGATAATATTTTATTGTATGGTCTGAAATATGTTTTATATTATTTATTTTATAACTTCCATGCTAGTTTGAAGATACTATAAATCATTCTACAACTTTTCCTTAACCGAAATAGAATATATTTTTCTTAAATAAAACAGTTTTGAAAGCCGTTCTGTATATGTGTTATGAACTTCGTTCCTGTAAAACATTTTAGATAATTTTTTTAATCCTTCCTTGTTTTGATGATAATTGTAACCCTTGCATAGAGTACTATATTTTTTTGAGTGCATGCCGTGCTAATGATGCTTCCCGCGAAGCTCACTTGGGAAACTCCTTGCGCCGCTTCATTATCTTGGTAATCCCGGCCACCATGGCCACCTCGGGCAGCGACAGCTTGGCATCCTCTTGGAAGTCGCAGCGTCGGGTTAAATGCAGCCAGGTCCTTTCTGGATTCAAGGACAACGGCATCTGCAGCCAGCTAACGTAGTCGATTTTCAAAGAGCCCGTGAGCAGCTGGTCGAAGGGGGTGTTCCCAATGAAGAACATGGACCTCAGAACCGAAGTCTTGGCCTCCTTGATGTTCTGACCCTGAATGCCTTGAAAAGGACTCGGATCATTGTCACCCGTTCCCAACTGCTCAAGCAACCAGTCCTTGTTGAATTTCAGGTAGTTATACACCACTTTCAGGGCCTGCTTGCCAATATTTGTGGTCAAAACATCGCTGACCAGGACTTCGGCTATATAATCTGCGATTCCCACATCCAGTTCCATGGCGTAATTATTTGGGGGACTGTGGCTCAGGCGATCCGATTCTGCATTTGTCAGGGCCAAGTCATCCATTTTGATCGTACTCACAGCACTCATTCCTCCAGCCCCCCGGTTATTGCTCCCTGGTGTTCCACCGAAATCCGTGTCCAAGTTAATACTCTCCTTGGCCTGTTTAAGAAATAGTTCTATTTGATCCGTGTGTTTGTCGTCCTCGTCAATTGAGCAAATGGCCTCCGATATGGAATAACAAATGGCGGCCTTGTCCTCATTTTTAGCTGATGAGAGTTAAATATGAATAGGCAACACCAAAATAATCTAAAATATTCTTTAACATTTTATAAATTGTATAATGAACTCACCCTGTTCATACGTCTCTGCTGTTTTGACCAGTTCTGTATAGAGTGCTGCAAAAACAACCTGCAAAAGCACGGAATCCCCCAATGGCCTTGTCGAGACTGGTATAATGTCCTGTAGCAAGGAGGCGATTTTGTACAGACCCTCGGGAAGGCAGTCCCAGATTTCGGAGACACACGTTAGAGCTAAGGACATCGCCTGGTACATGCTCGCTCCATTTTCCACGGCATTGACCAACATGTCCACCACACAATCGAGAACAGGGTATACGAAGTGCATGATGGCCTCCAACCAGGGAGTTCTCTTTTGGTTCCACACCTGTCTTTTGTCCAGGCAGTCGCTCCAACCTGCGATCGCGTGTTCCTCCAGGGTTTTGATCAGACAGGACTTAATGTCCACCGCCTTGCCAACAGCCACCACTAAATAGGTTAGTGAGAGGACTATTTGATAGTTGGATTGACCCACGGGATCTGGACAGAAAGGAATTGAAATGATGAATCTATACTCTACTTCTTAATATTTTGGGTGGGATCCTGTTAAAGGGACTGTTATAGTTATATTGTTATATATTTCAGATACCAACAAATGAAAATATTAATAGAATATTTGAATAATCTTACCTATATCCCCTGCTATAGAGTCGGTGACATTGAAGCACTCTCCACGACATAAAAATGCCTCGCACTTTTGAGGGGCACCCTCTGCGCTGGTGAACGATATCTTTGCTACATTTTTAAAGTTTTCCGAAGAGGGTAAATACTGCATGAGGTGGCGCATTATAATGCCCGTGAGATAGGCATCTCTCATCAATAAAATCTTCAACAGGTACGACCAATCTGCCTCTGGAAAGGCAAGTAAGACCCTCAAATCCAATGAAATAGCCGTGTTAGTTGAAAGATCTGAGAATTCGGTGACCCATTGACAGGACTGTTCCTTGGGAAAATATCTGGGGAGGGCAAAAATAGTCCAAGCACTTGGCAAGCCGTGGCGAGAGCTAAACATTTCCATGTTATCCAAACCTTTGCGGAAAACCTAAAAAGAAGAAGTATATCATTATAATAAGAACATATCTTTTAAGATTTCTTCAGAAAGGTATAGGATAATCTGTATATGTACGGTTTCAATGCTCCAACTTATTAAACTTGTTTGCCGTACCTTTGAAAGCACACCCAATGGAGAACCCCTCAGGAGAAGGCAGTAAAAGAGCTCCCTGCACTTGGCGTGAATGTCCCTTATAATAACACTCTGGTTACTGAGCTGCAGGCCCACGTAGGCCTCACCACTCTCACAAATATGGGGCAATAGCTCCGCGATGCAGAGCAGCATATTGCAAATATCCACCAGATGGAGTGTGGATCGAGCCACACTAGTTACTATCTGGGTGTATCGTACAGTCAGTACACTCAGCGTTTCGTTCAGCATTCCGGCGAATATCTTTTGGGCCATTTTCGGGGGCACCGAGTTCCAAAGATCGGTTTTGGAGCCCCTCATATAATGCCACCACATCTGAACGGTATAGGAACCCCTTTCTGACTCGAAAAACGGTTGGGTATCCTCCCAGTGAAGGCAGTCTGCATCCTGCATTATATAGAGTAAAAGCAATCGGCAGTGGAGATCCAGGAGTCGTTCAGCCAAAGCCTCTGACATCTGCGAATATTGCTTAAAACTGAGCTTCAAAGCTCCCCCCTTTTCATCGCCTTTGGGTGGACATATAGTTGTGGTGGCCGCTTGCATGTAAACACTCAGGGAGTTCTTAACCAGTGAGGCAGCTCCAATTGTGGCAGTGAGCACAGATAAGTCGGCATGATCCAGGGACTCCTGTGAGAGCCGATGAATGTGCTCCAGAAGTAAGTCAGCGGATTTGGTCACTAGCTGCACAAACTTATCCGGATCGGATGTCTTCACGGTCACACTTGACTAGGATAAAAAGAGCTTTTGGTATAACAATATATAAAATTATGTGATAATAAAATCTTACGAAATCTCCTTCATTCATTTCCTTTTCGGTGTGCAACAGACCAGAGGGCTTTCGGTAAGAGGCAAAGTACTCATCTTCCCACCTAAGAAAATTTTCAATTTTGTGATTAAATAATTAAATATTAATTTGTTGAAGATATAATTAAATAAATAATTTTCTTTCGAATTACTTTTAATATCCGATCCGAGTACTGTAATTTGAATGCCCCAGGCAATTACATTATAATTATTTGCTCAGAATTGCTGCAGGATTTCAAAATCCCCCCGTGGCATGAATCCTGAATCTTGACTGATCCTGACAGTTTTTTAACGATACAACACGATTTTATTGGCCCTTATGTTTCAACCTTACTCTACGGTTAACGAGTATATACACTTCTACAACTTATTCATTAATGCGCAAGGAACCGCATCATGATGTTCTGGGAAACCTGCAGAGTTATCAGCTCATTTTACATTATATGTTGGAAAGGAGAGCTCGAAGCTCTTGGGAGTTGGAAGTCTAGTAAAATCGCTTTATAACAATGATTGATAGGTATTTATATAGTCGTCCGATACTACGAAACGTAACTATATAAAATAAATTCCAGAAAGAATGGATTTACGACAAAGGCGACTGTTAGGTTTGAACAGAGTCTATAAAGAATTTCAGAGTGTAATGAACTTTAGTAAGCAGACGTTGATTCGATTACAATGTACTGCAAATTAATTTTCGCCTCATGGCTTGTCAGCCTATTGGTTTTCTGTTCGAGATCAGGATCCGCTCAATTTTTGGAGAACTTCTGTAGACAAAGCAGGGAAGGACTGGAGGCAGATGCAGTGGGTCCCTGGACGGCCGTCTTGCATTATTCTGGACGAATCGTTTGTCTAGGAACCCTGATCCACGAACGGTTTATTCTGACCGCTGCCCATTGCGAAGATTCTGGTGGATTCTTAAAAGTTCGCTTGGGGGAATACGGAAGAGTAAGTTCTGAGGTGGCAGAAGACTATACGGTCTCTGCGTTTATTAAGAACCGCAATTTTAATCCGGAATCGCAAGCCAATAGCATCGGCCTAGTAAAACTGATCCGGTCTGTAGAGTACAAAGAACACATAAGGCCCGCGTGCATTCTCTTGGATCCGCGAATGCAGACTTTGGCTGATGACTTAAATTACTTCACTGGAACAGCATGGATGTACTGGGATAGGAAGCTTAGCTCCAAGACTGTGGACTAGATGCCCCAGGCTTGCGGAAGTCTTGACAAAAGCCAATTTTGTGCCGGTAAAAAGGATATTGAGTCCTGCGAAGAACCCTCCGGTTCTGCACTAACCCATCAAATAAACTACATTTACATTTACATTTATGTATAATTTAAGCCATAAACAGATATTATCTTCGCAAAGTATGCGAATTTCATAAAAATCTAATTTGGTTCAAAGCACCAGCCGGTTTCTTTTCAGCTAAAGGAGCAAAAGGGAGATGGATTGTTAAGCGCTAAGTACCCACGGCTGAAATATATGCTTATGTGGGCGGCAGACAGACTTAAGCGTTATGGGTGATTGTAGGCGTTAGAGTGGACGTGGAACACAAACTTGCGCAGCGTACGAAGCTAAGGAATCGAAATCGGAAATCTTAACTCTCTACCTTTGATAGTTTCCAAGATATCAGCGTTAAACATCGGTTTGTGGGCATTACAGAGGGCGTGGCCACTTTTTTCTTGCGCTTAAACTGTATAAACCACAGTTTTGGGCGGTTTGTGGGCGTCAGAGTGGACTTGGCATGTTCGTGTAACAAACTTAAGCTGCGTACGAAGGTAAGGGATCTAAATCTGAAAACTCATCCCTCTAGCTCTTGTAGTTTCCGAGATCACAGCGTTCACACGGTCAAACGGAAATGGCTAGATCGACTCCACTAGTGATTCTGAGCAAAAATATATATACCTTATGGGATCGGAAACACTTTCTTATACCTGTAACGAGTAACGGGTATAAATACCTACCATCTTATTAATTTAATGGCTGCAAAGGAAGCGTAACGTGGAAAATCCAGTTTTCCACCCACAACTCCTGAGCAAATTGGTTCCTGAAGCACCCGTTGATGTGTCTGTTTATTGGAGAGGGGTTATGTAATGGTCCACCAAGGCAACATTATTGGTTCTTACCTGGTAAAACTCTAGATCGCGCTGTAGTAAAATAGGCACTCTGTCCATTAAATTTCCCTCTTCGAGCACCTCCATAATTAAGTATTTTATAAACTTTATAAGTTACTTCAAACAATCTGCTTAGCGTGTGCTAACGAAAAAACAGTTATTTAGTTCACCAGTTGTCAGGGTAACAGAATCAGTACTTTGTATCAATAGAAACCCTTTAAATCTAAAATGGGCAGCGATGGATTTATAGAAATTTGCAATAATAATTTTTGTTGCTATATAGTCTGAGCACAATAAATTACACAGAAAAATCTGCATGCTTTTAAAAAATATTTTTTTACTTCTGTTCAAGATAAGAAACTCATATCTCTTTAAAAAAAATGTAATATTGAGTTTTACTTTCCATCTGAAAGTATGCTTTATTTTTGTGTGCACGTTGCACTCAACCTCTCAATTATTTTCGTTTTATTGATAAGACGGCAACCTAGCTCCCCACCCTCTCTCTTTGCATTAATTCCATTTGCGCCTGCGATAAGCTGCCCACAAAAGCGAATCCGTCCCGCTGGTTCGGCATTCAAATCTGCCCTCAGTTGATAATTGACTGGCGACCCGGGCAGTCGCTGTTTTAATCCGGACACCTACCAAGTGAGTACCGCCTTGATAGAGATGCTATCAGTGGGTCCGCGCTGCTGGGGATCTAGACAAAAATTTCCAGCCAGCAACCAGAAATCAGGCGGAGCTGCTATCGCTCGATAAGAATGGTATCAGGTCGTAATCAGTAATCCATAAATCTCCTCTCGTTCTCAGCCAGAAAAATAAGCCTTGTATCTTAAAACCACAATGTTTAAGTTCGTTGGTCAAACATAGCAATATATACAAGCGATTTGTGAATGATTCTATTCTATTTATATACCCGTTTGTAAATTAAATTATAACTAACGATGGAGTATATTTTTTGTTTAAATTCCATTTCTAAGAGTTTGTGTAAACCTATAAAAGTGAAAGTTTCCATGACTGATAACGAATGATACTAATCATAAATAAGTTGTAATATTTAAAATTAAATAACAGGTATTAATATTTTTATCCAGTATGTTGGCACACCTGAGAAATCTTTCGAGGCTGGCGTTGCCACGCCGACTGGTCACCCAATCCGCCAGCTACTCGTCGACCTCCTCGTTCCTGATCGACCAGCCGGAATACAGTTTCCTGAAGGAATTGGGCCTAGAACGCGACAATCCAGGAGTTTATTCCGGTCAATGGCAGGGTAATGGTTCGTCCATCACCAGCTACGACCCCGGAACTGGCCGACCTATAGCCACAGTGCGTCAGGGAAATGTGCAGGAACTCGAGCAGACCATCGGGCTGGCAGTGGAGGCCTACAAGCAGTGGCGACAGGTTCCAGCTCCAGTTCGAGGGGAAATAGTTCGTCAGATCGGTGATGAACTGAGAAAGTACAAGGAACCGCTGGGAAAACTTGTGTCCCTCGAAGTGGGCAAAATCTACAGCGAGGGTCAGGGAGAAGTGCAGGAGTTCATCGATATCTGCGACTATGCGGTTGGCCTCTCCAGGATCTATTCCGGTCAGCTGATCAACTCAGAGCGGGCCGATCACTCGATTCTGGAGGCCTGGCGTCCTCTGGGAGTGGTGGGCGTTATTTCGGCCTATAACTTTCCCAACGCTGTTTTTGGCTGGAACGCTGCGATTGCTCTGACCACTGGCAACAGTGTGCTGTGGAAAGGCGCTCCCAGTACGCCTTTGGTCTCGGTGGCCACTACCAAAATTGTGGCTGATGTGCTGCGCAGGAACAACCTTCCGCCAGTAGTGACCCTTTGCCAGGGAGGCACCGATGTGGGTCAGACCCTGGTGGCTGACAAAAGAGTAAACCTCGTGTCCTTCACCGGCAGCTGTCAAACTGGCCGTGATGTGGGCGTAGAAGTCCAGCGCAGATTCGGTAAGGTCATCCTCGAATTGGGTGGTAACAATGCCTTGATCATCGATGAATCTGCAAACGTTAAAACGGCTCTGGACGCTGCTCTCTTCGGTTGCATTGGCACTAGTGGTCAGAGGTGCACCACAACCAGGAGAATTATTGTGCACGAAAAGCTGCATGATCAGTTTGTTAAGGCGCTGGTTGGTAAGTATAAGCAGCTAATACCCAAGATTGGGCACCAACTCGACGCTCAAACTCTGGTGGGTCCCGTGCACACGCAACAAAACGTGGAAAACTACAAAACGGCCATCGAGGAGGCCAAATCCTTGGGTGGAACCGTGGCCTTCGGCGGCAAGGTAATCGAGCGGGAAGGTTTTTACGTGGAACCCACGGTAATCACCGGTTTGCCCCACGATGCCAGCGTTGTCCATCGGGAAACCTTTGCCCCAATCGTGTACATCCTTAAAGCCAGGAACGTGGACCAGGCCATCGAATGGAATAACGAGGTGGAGCAGGGCCTATCATCCGCCATTTTCACCGAGAACATTGGCCAGGCCTTTAAGTGGATTGGAGCCAAAGGTTCCGATTGTGGCATCGTCAACATCAACACCACCACCAATGGTGCCGAGATTGGAGGTGCGTTCGGAGGAGAAAAGGCCACTGGAGGTGGTCGCGAATCCGGATCGGATGCCTGGAAGCAGTATTGCAAGCGGGCCACCATCACAGTCAATCACTCCGGCGAACTGGCTTGCGCCCAGGGCGTCGTCTTCAATGTGGAGTAGAAACAGATATGATCAATTTAATGTCTTCCTATTTGCTAAAATTTAAAATACATAAATGATGTCCGAAATTAAATGCAACCGAGTTAATTATTTCTATTCTTTGCTGATGTCGAAGCGCCAGAAGTCCACCTCGATATCTTTGGACTTGTGTTTGTGGAACTTGTAGCTTGCGTCGATGTTGTAGCGTAGTTCGGCGACCACAGAGCCGCGCGCACCCCATTCCTGCGCCTTTTTCAGTATGTAGGACCTGTAATAAATTAGGAGGAGAGGTAAATTTACAATATAACCGAAAACATTTTATTATCAATGTCGTCTTTGTACAAGTGCTAGGTGTGCTTTTGAAAACTGCGTTTGCTGAATGAGTTATATATGTACATGACCAAATTTTTTCGTTTACAGTTATGGATACTCGTTAATTAAGCAGTAATATTTTTTTGATAGTTATATGACACCCTAGTCAGCTAGCAAACTAGTTTGTGTAGAAGCAGATAGTCAAAAATGGCGGATCAACGTTCATCCATAATATAAATACTTTTTAATTCTTAGAAATATTTTTCTCAACATCTGATTGCTAGCGATCCTTGATTGAACAGACATTTTTGTAACAAAACTATAATAGAAGCTACAGAAATAATTACGATTGGAAGAAATATCTATATGTTTATTTAAATATCGCTAGAATTTGGATGATAGAAAAATGATATTACATATAGTCCGACGTACAATCATAATATCCGTGCAATGTTTAGTAGCAGTACAACTTAATTTTATCTTATCTCATTTACTTAAAGATTGTGCAGTGCTTGTTCCTCAAAATATGTTTCAATGCTTTTCTTGCATCGTTTACAGCCGACTTCAGGTGTAGAACTGCTGCATGCAGTTGGGACCGCTGAGGCAACAACCGTTGCCGCAGACGGGCACAACTCCCTCTTTGGCGACGCGACGGCAGAGGACCGGCGGTCCGCGGTAGTCCCGGTGGTAGCAGATGCGCATGCAGACAGACCCACCCACTTGCACTCTGATTAAGGTGGGGCGGCAATGACCACGGGGCAGGATCTGCGCTTGGACGGATAAGGACGTTATCAGTAGTGCAGCCAGGATCAGCAGGCAACGAGCAAGAACCATCTTGCTTCTGTCTTCAAGTCGCTGTCTTTACCTTTACTGACGTTGCTGCCGCGTTTTATAGTTGCTGCTTTTAAATCGATCAAAATAACAGAAGTACAAGCAGCGGTAAGGTACACCACTTATCAAAAAGCGGCAGCAATTGTTTCTGTTGTTTGCCAAGAACAAAAGATCACGCATCTGTTTGTACCCGTCACTCGAAAAGTAAAAAGATATATTGTACAATGAACATACATATATCAGGGAGTAAAAGAAAACATATAATTCTATTTTTGAAATGAAAATATAGGAATTTTTGCACTTCACATTTGGCTTAAATTTTAAATCGGTTAAGATAACTTAATTAGTTCTTAGTTAACATAAATTGTACTAATATGACCAAGATGAACCCAAATCTGTCTTCCTTTGAAACCTCAAGAGGATTTATCAATATTAAATAAAAGAATCCGCATTTTAACAACTAATCCAACAATATTAAAGTCTTGACAGTTCATTTTAAGATAAATTGGATATGTTGGGCAAATGTGCGGCTATCGAATAAATCAAAATAATTGGAAAAACTCCGGTCACTCCATAATTTCTTAAATATTTTCCAAATATAAATAGAACAGCAAGGAAAAATAGTGAAGAGTCTCACCGTGTTGACGTCTTGTGCAGGGAGTAAACTGAGCTGTTGGCCAACCGCAGCGCCACCTCAAGGAATCGCATGTCCATGCCAGCATTGTGTTTTGTCCCGAACGGAGGGTTCATCACAACCGTGTCGAAGGACTTCTCCCACTTGCTGCCCGCCAGCTGCAGGACGTCCGCCCGCACACAGTCGACATTGGGCAGCTCCATCTCCACAACATTGCTCCTAAACGTGTCCACTGCATCGCCGTCCAGTTCAAAGCCCACCGTGAGCTGGGCGCCCAGGAGGGTGGATGCAATGCTGAGCATTCCGCAGCCACAGCCCAGATCTCCCACCAGTCTTCCCTCGATGTCCTCGTGCTGCGCCTGCATGTGGTGGGCCATGCAGGCGGCTATGTGCGGAGGCGTGGGGTATTGTTCCAGCAAGATCTTGGGCTGCTCGAAGCCATCAACGCCCTGGAGGTACTCCTCCAGCTTCCGCAGCTTCATCCGGGCCATGGTGGCTTGGACTACTTGCTGATATTAAGGCCGGCAGGGGCGTTCGGAGTGGTGGGCGTGGTCGCGGGCGACGGCAGCGGCTCCAGACGAGGCAGCACGGGTATAAAGCTGTTTCCAAAATACGAATCCTGAGGTACAAAGAAGCCCAGAGTCGTAGAGCTCGTTGGATTAAATGCAGAGCGGGTGGTCGATGTGGCATTGGAGGCAATGCCCACGCCCGCCTGGAAGTCGGGAGTCGGTGTCGTTGGCTGGCCCAGTAGCTGGGTGGTGGGCATCTGGGGAAAATAATAATACAAATAATAATAATGGAATAACCACATTCCGCATCTCATATGCTCACCTGACTCGTGGTGCTCAGCCCCAGGTTTATGATCCCGCCCGCGAGCAACTGCTTCTTTGTCTGGATCTCCTCGAGTATCTTGCGGTTCGTCTCTGCTTGCTGGGCACTTGTGGTGGGAAAAGCCATCAAATAGTCTAGAATTAATTGTCAAAAAGTCGGAAGTATTGGGGGAACTTCTTTGCAAGTCGTGCTGATTCGGCTACTGGCATTTCGCACGTTGTGTCCTGCGGTCACACTGGTTTTTACTGATACCGTTTGAAATCCGTAGGAACATTTGGGGTATTCAAATTCCACTTCATTTGGATAAGCAAAGGGTCTATTTCCAAAAAAGTTCAAGTCCAAGTAATAAGCCATTCTAATTTTTAGGCAACATTTTAGTACTTGATTCCACATTTTCACGATATTCAGTTAGCTGGTTTGTCATAATAGACTACGTTGGATTTAATGCCTAGAATTTTTCTTAACATGTATTTTCTGATTTTGTTGCTTTCTAGTACACATTTCACATAGAAATGCTATCACAAAATATTTGTTGTCTTCTGCTGAGCTGAAATAATAACACTTTTAATCTTTCGGAGTGTTCCTCGACTAAAATGTTGAGATAACAAAATTTAATTGATATAACTCAAAACAATTGAAGGCATATCCTTTCACTATAGTAACAAAAAACCTGCTCAGACAATATCTATTTTGTTATTCAATTGAAAAGCGTTTCATGTCTTGAAGAAAATTCTAAACGGAGACTTCTACCGGAAAAGAAACAAATTTTAAAATGAAAACAATGGCGGGCTTCTACTACTGTAACATATTCGACTATCGCTCTGGGAATTATCGATAGTAGTCCCATTCGCTATTCTCAGTGTCTTAATTGTATTCGATTGAGTCGATTGTAAAATAACGTGAGCAGACAACAACAAAATAAAAAAATTTAAAGTGGAATAAAAACAAACATTAGCAGTCCTTTCGGTATCTTCTTTAAAAAACTAACTATTTGCGCGAAACCGGAAAAACACGTGCATCATCATGAGTATGAGTGACGACGACCGAGACATAGACATCGAGAGTGACGTAAGCAGATCCCCCAAAAACCAATACGTGGGCTTTATACTAATTATAATGCCAAAATTACGATTTTATAGGACGACGCGGATTCGGATACTGGTCTGGGTTCCTCCCGCCACACGAGCACAGCGAATTTCACCCAGGTTTGATTGTCTCGGTCCAAAATAAATAAGAAGCGACTGCGCACATTGCCATTTGTTGATAAACAGAACGCACATGTTGTTGTTGTTACGAAATCGTCATTACATACAGCTGAGCTCACAATAATAGGAGCATTTTTAAGTCTTTATTGGGTCAACCAAAACTAATCAGAAAGTACTTTACATTGTTTATTTTTTTTAAGTAAAGAAAAGTATAACAATTTAATTTAAGCATTTAATATTATTTAATGGTTAATCGTTAGAAGTATTTGTGTTGCCCAAATTATATTTAATTTATTCTTTATACACGTTTTAAAATATTGAACAGAGTTTCCATTAACATAACATTAACATTCTTTATGTTTTTCAATTGCTAAAAATATATCTAAAGTTTTTATCAAACCCACCAATAACTTTTATTAGTTTGACCTCAGCTGTACCGACGAAGGGATTTCCCTTTGTTTACATTTCTTCTGTTTGTTTGAAGGCCGAGAAGCGGGCGCATCACAATGCCTTGGAGCGGAGGCGGCGGGACCACATCAAGGAGAGCTTTACCAATCTGCGGGAGGCAGTCCCCACGCTCAAGGGCGAGAAGGTAACTGTGTGCAGTAGTGATAGTGTGGCGCCCATTCAATATTAGGAAGTAACACACGTTTAGATGACATTGAAAAAACGCCCCAAAGTCTATTCTTATACTGTCACTATAATAGAAAATACCATTTTAATGGTCGAAAATACCTTCCTCACATAAGCAAATCCATAAATATTCAGCTAATATACATACTTTACTTCACTTTATTTTGCAGGCGAGTCGAGCTCAAATCCTGAAAAAGACCACCGAATGCATACAGACAATGAGGCGGAAGATCAGTGATAACCAGAAGGACATTGAGGAGATCAGAAAACAGAACTTTATACTAGATCAGCAGAGTAGGTCCCATATAATCTCCTTTTGAACTTATTTATGATTTTGTGTTTATTACCCAGTTCGAGCCCTGGAGAGTCCGAATGGTGACTCCCTTGCCGAATTTCTCAGCGACGAGGAACTGGAGAGCGAGGAGGCCGAAGATGACCTCGACCAGCCAGACTTCAGCAGACGCAATAAGAAGATGAAGACCTTCCACGCATAGCCGCTTTGCCAGTCCCAAATGCTGCATAGAGGCACGTGCCGGTTTTCACATTCAACGACAATTTGTAATACTTTTCGCTTTAAGTTTACCTTAGAGTTGTGTTATCCAAGAGCAATAGCCCCCCAAAGTTGTGAAGAAATCGCTTCCAAATTCAAATCAGTTTAAACTCGATCAAATTTAGTGGAAAGGAAAACTAACAAGTCCGATAATCATAATCATCATTAGCTGTAAGTCTATAATGTAACCCACCCAATCGACCTTAATTTGTATGCGTGTGTCTTTTGTACTTTGAGCAAATAATCACTCTCGCTAACAGTAAAAAATGTAAGTAAATATTTTAGAAAAAAGCAAAACAAATTTTCTATGGAACTTGGTTCGGGAAAGCTTTTTATCATATTCACCCAGAATGACTTTTGCCCTCTAATGATAGCGAAGCTACATTTTAAGGCTTATCACCTAAAAGTGATTGATAGGGTTAAAGTTTTTTTAAAGACTACAAATTTAATATTTTAAAATCGTAACCCTGCTCTTAAATCATTTAGCTCAAAGCTCTACCTCATATTTAGGAAAATTGATTAAATCAGTTCATTTCTTAAAATTTAGAAGCAACTTTTAGAACGTAACTCTGCAAACTTATGCAGATAGTTGTCACGGGTTTGGCTCAATTTCAGAATAATTCTTTTTCATATTTAAAGTTTCCTTCTGTCCTTTGGAGCTGCTTTACAATCTTGGGCTTAATCAAAAAACAACTAATCAAAATGTGGACATTCCAGAAAAAGTTCAACTATCTACCCTAAACAATACAAATCAGTTGGTATATATTTTACAAAAATTAGCAACAACTACTTGAACTTGAGGGTCAGCCAGAGGATGAAGAAAACGAAGAGGACGAAGAGAAACATGTAGCACATCTGGCGGGCTCCACCGCCCTGCTTGGCCAGTCGCATCACTCGCGTCATCGTGTTGCCCAGGAACCCGCTTGTGCGGTCCATGTCGTCGTCGATCCCGCGCAGCAGCTTGTCCTGGTAGCGCACCTCATTGCCTATGTCGATGGTGAGGGACTTCAGGGCCCCGATCTTCTGTTTCAGCTCCTCCGCCGCCTGTTCGTTCTCCGCCTCCAGGGAATCGTGACTCGCCGCAGGATGGGATCCCGATGGCTGCTGGTTCAGGGGCTGATATGGGTAGTTGTTGCGGCGCATACTGCTCCCCGTGTGTGCCAGTTTGGCATCCGGATTGCTGTGGATTGGGAATATGTAACAAAAATCAGTTCCAAAGCCCGGAATCTCAGAGTCCCATTCAAGTGACACGTAAACGTAAACATGGAATCTCACCCAGCGGCAAAACAGCTGTTTTGGCTTTTGTTTCTGGAGTCAACCTCTGTGGCTGACTGCGCATTGACCCTTGACCTGCCTTCGTCGGAATTCCCAGAAGCGGCTGACTAATGCTCCAATTAAGTAAATGAAACTTTTTAAAATCTAATGCAATTTGGTTGGTCGCCGAGCAGTGTGGCCAAAGCGAAGGATCGGACAAATGTCGTAGTAATTTAACTCGGTTTTACGATATTCGTTTAACCCATTACTTGCCCTTACTTTTTCCTAAATCGCAACAGTCCACGGTACGGATATTTTATAACTTTTCTGTAAGCTTGTGCCAATTTGTTTATTTTTCGCTTTTAATAAACATTCGTTTACTTTTTTAACTCTACTTATCTCAATAACTTTCATTATGAAAATGTTCTGTAATTGACCAGTTTTTCTTTTAACTTCCGTTTCTATTACGTCTGTGCCTAAACCTGGTAATATTTACACTTAAAAAACACAATTGTAAATTATCATCAGCAAACATCCATTTTTTTCTTGGCTTGCAACAGTGGGTTAATCCTCGTGACTATTACTGTTAGGATTAGGTGTTTGGGCATTTTCAGTGCACCCGCCAACGGCCATACTGCTCCAGTGTTAGTAATTATTTAGGTAAATTTGGCCAACAATTCAGCTTGCCGCTCTCGTTTGTTGCTCCCATTCGCTTTTATGACCTGACCGTGAAATCAATAGATATCAAATATTTAAATCAGTCCGGTGGCAAGTGCGTCATCATCAAATCCATCGGATCGCCGAGATGATTCGACCTCTGAATTCGCATTTTCATTGACCCTGACCAAGTGCACTCGTATGTTGTTGTTGTGTTGCTCATTGCTTAATCTCCCCCTGCCTCCCCCACCCCCTTCGATGATCAAAAGACAATCAGTTTGCGTAATAAGCCACCATTACAACAACAATAACAACAATTGCGCGTGATAAGGAGTCGAGCCCAATGAACCAGGGCACCACGCGAACAAACTTACTGATAAGCCCTGCAACTCTTTTCCCAGATTTAGCATGACGGAATACACGGAGGTCGTGCCCCACAATGGCCTGATGGATGGAATCGCCTGGGGGGTTGGGGTCCCCGTGGAGGCCCTCCGATTGCTCCTAACCATCGTGGCCGGTAAGCTAATATATCTATTTGATTTTAAGGATTTTTTTTTGGTCTTTCACATCGAAAGATTGAGTTAAAATATACCGAAAAAGATATGTATCTAGGTTATATGTATGCACAGGTGTTAATACATATAATGTGGGTTTGGTTAACTTTTGGTAACTTATTTTCATTTAGATGATTTTAAAATTTGTTGGAGCTTACAAAATCTCAATACGGTTGAAGCTTAAAAATATTTTAATATTCCAAAAAGAAATAATATTTTAACCAATCAACAAACACCAAAAAATGTTAAAATAAATATGCTCAACATACTAAATGATAAACTATAAATTAAAATAATTTCATAAAAATATTAAATACTCAATCTATTAGTAACCATACACTTTATGTCTCCTTCCAGGCTATCCCTTGGCAGCGTTCTATCAAAAGTTTATAGCCGTCATTGCCGATAAGACCGTGCATCACATGTTCTTTGCCGGATGCGGCGCTGGGTTGTGTTACTTTAACTACGGCCGCGACACATATCACTCCCTGGTGGCCATTCTGACCACCTATTTCCTGGTACTCCTCCTGCGCAAGAAAGCACAAATATTCCTGGCCATAAACTTTGTATTCCACATGACTTATCTGCTGCTTGGCTATTTCTACACCTCCAGCAATGAATACGATATTCTGTGGACGATGCCCCACTGCATTTTGGTACTCCGAATGATTGGCTACGGCTTTGACATCACCGACGGACTGAAAGAGGAATCTCAGTTGTCTAAGGAGCAGAAGGAAACAGCTCTTAAGGAACCCCCGTCGCTGCTGGAACTCTTGGCCTTTGCCTATTTCCCCAGTGGATTTTTGGTGGGACCACAGTTTCCCTTTAGCCGCTATCAGGCCTTCGTCAACGGCAAATTCCGTCAGCACGAGGGGAGCTTGGAGGCTGGCGTGCGCCGGTTTGCAGCCGGCGCCTTCTACCTGATCGTGTGTCAAGTGGGTCTGAGATATCTCCCCGATTCGTACTTCCTCACGCCGGAGTTTGCAGAAGTTCCGTTTATCAAGAGGATCTATTTCCTGGGCTTCTGGGCCAAATTCAGCCTGTACAAGTACATATCATGCTGGATGCTCACAGAGGGAGCACTCATCTGCATTGGCTTAACGTACAAAGGAGAGGACAAGAACGGACAACCCGATTGGTCGGGCTGCAGCAATGTGAAGCTACAGCTCCTGGAGACGGGGAACACGATGGAACACTACGTGCAAAGCTTCAATGTGAACACGAATCAGTGGGTGGGACAGTACATCTACAAGCGGCTGAAGTTCCTCAACAATCGGACGATCAGCTATGGCGCTGCTTTGAGTTTCTTGGCCATCTGGCACGGATACCACAGCGGATACTACGTGACCTTCCTCATGGAATACATGGTCGTGAGCACCGAAAAGCAAGTGAGTGGTCAGAGTAGATTAATATATATAGCTAATTGTGTTCTGGAGGGTTAAAGCATAATTGTAAATGTAATCGAAATTGGTTAAAAATATTGTTACATATGTATGTGATATTTATACTTTCGAAAACAAAAAGCTTTCGGGTGTATTTGAGACCCTGGCTCACCTTACCCAAAGGTAATTTAAATAACTTTTTATGACCTTATTAGGCAGTTCCGAGCCCGAGTGCCTCTAAAGCTTTTATGAAGTGATTAATTTTTCGCAAATGGGTTATAATTGGTGGCATTTAAATGTTAAGCAAAGCTTATATTATTTAGAATCCGAAAATAATTATTCTTTCTGTACTTTCAGATAACCCACTTCTACACCAAAGTGGTGTTGCCCAAGTGGGGCCATATCCTCAACAACTCAGACATTTACAAACTTCTGTACTTCATCACTATGAAATCGTACAACGTTGTTTACATGGGTTGGTGTCTCACCGCATTTGTGTTTCTGAAATACGAGCGTTGGATCGTGGTTTACGGAGCGGTTAACTACTACGGATTCACGGTTCTGATCGTCTGGGCTGTCTTCTACCACACCTATAATCACCTTTTCCGGATCAGTTCTCGAAAAGAAGCTGGTGAGGATGGCAAGTTAGAAGACAAAAGTACGGAAAAGCTCACAGAGGAAAAGAAGCCAGAAGACAAAAAGTCTGAGTAGGGAAAATATTGGAGGAAATCACCGGCAGGAAGTTCTCAAAATTTTAGTTTTGCCTTGACAATTGTTTGGAATTGGTATTAATCAAAGAATCGAGTTGTTTTTACTAACCAAATAAGAAGTTTTACCAAATAATATGCCACTGTAACTAGAGATTTGTTAACTAGCTATTGGAATGCAATTTTATATATATATATCGTCTGCCTAGTCAAGGAGGAGTCATCCCCAAGTATGCAGTGTGTTTTTTGGCGATAAGATACTGTCTTATCTGGGCGAAAATCACATTGTCAGTCTTATATATATTATGGAATTGTAAATTGTATAAGTGTTAAACCCCGTTTAGTTTAACTAGAAACTAGACAGATCACACATAAGACTTTAAGGAGACCAGGGTCTTTGAAAATCAAACCACTTCTGTAACAGATTTCTTGTATTTGAAAGGGGAGCATCCGAGGAGACTTAAGCCACAAAGACAGTTTTTTACTAATGCAAAGATGATTCAAAGATATATTTTGATATGCTCACGCTAAGTGCAAATTTGATGAATGGAAATGCGAAATAAATGCAATGAAATTATTTTTATATACAAAGCAAGCATTTACTGGGCATGGAATTTAAATGGGGGAAGTGGCTATCGTATTACGACATCTTGCTTAATGCGTGCACTTCGAACTTTTCTAGTTTATATGCAAGAATTGTTTTAATATTCAGGGATCGTCATGTATTTAATTGAATATAAAAGAAAAAGCAATATTTGGCTGAAACTTTTTAATGACAGGTCCGATTCCAATATTTTTTGGCATTTAGATGAGTATTGATAGTAAGAACACAGTAGAAGGGTTTTAGTGTTATGGTCGTTTGTGGCCGTGGCACCCAGCATGCCAAGTCCCATTATTCTAGCCCTTATAGTTTCCGAGATCTCTGCGTTCATACGAAAAGACGGACATGGCTAGATCGACTCGATTAGTAATCCTGATCAATAATATTTATATCTTGTGATATTTTGAATAAATTGTTATATTTCCTATAAAAAGCCACATCCAACTTGCACATATTTCGTTCAGATAATGGATAAGCCGACACTTAAGCCCAATGTCAAATTTAATTTGTGCTACAAGGACATATTTTTAAACTGGTTAATATTTTGGTTCAGTCTGCAGAAACATTCTTATAATTCTATTGTCTCTGGCTGCTAAGCGTTGCTGAATCCATAAATTTTTGGTTTAATATTTTACGAATTTGTATGTTAATTTTTTTTAATTACAATCGTGATAAACCATGCAATTAAAGGCATTTGAATAATCGTAGATACAAGGAAACTTATTTATTGATCATAAAATAGTCATGAGAATGTACTGGGAGGTTGCTCGGGATGATCTGGGCTCTAATGCTCCATGGGCTGGGCATCGCCTCCGCCGCCCTCCACACGACGCTTTGCTCCGCCTCCAGAAGCAGGTTCTTTTTCCAGCTCCTCTGTGATCTCGCTGAACATGTAGTCGTCCTGATACTCCTTCAGGATCTTGCTCGAACGATTCTCGTCCAGGAACAGCGAGTACACCTTCTTCACATCCTCGGTATTGACTTCGGTGGCCTTGCGACGACGACAAACCAAATTAGCTGTGGTGATAAGTTGAATGGCATAGCGCAGGCTCGTATCCGTGGCAATGCGCGTGAGTATGGTGAGGGCATCCGGGTGCATGATGCAGTCCTCCTCCTCGCAACGGATCTTCAGGATCTCCTTGACCTCCTTCTCCAAATAAGAAACTGTGCGAATGATGATCATGCGATCAAGTAGATCAATGGGGATGCCATGGGGGCTTCGGTAGTTGGTGCCCCTGATGCGAGTAATGCCGCGATTGGTCGCCATAACCACGACCGGGGCCATGTCCGATTCCAAGGCGCGATTCAAA